ACAATTTATTCCTGCCTCAAAAACAAATCTAGTCTCGTTGACAAAACTCGCTTGGCCGTGCGTCTCGAAAAGGGCCTCCAATCGATTGTGAACTGGGGCAGGAATTGGCTGGTCAACTTCAACGCTTCGAAGACTAAACTGCTCTATTAATCACCACAGAGAGCCTTCCCTTCCCTCCATTAGAATGTCTGACGCTCAACTTCTCGAGAGCAACTCTCTGCGGCTTCTTGGTCTCACGTTGACTGCTGACCTGAGATGGAATAAATACATTGAGTCAATTGCCTCGTCCACTGCAAGGAAAGTTGGCTCCCTGAGCCGCGCTAGGAAGTTTTTCTCCCCAGAGTCGATCCTCCAGATCTACAAATCCACAATTCGCCCTTGCATGGAGTATTGCTGCCATATATGGTCTGGTGCCCCTTCTGTCTGCCTCGGGGTTCTTGATAGGCTCCAGAGGCAGATATGCAATGTGGTTGGCCCTGCCCTGGCGTCTCGTCTACAATCACTTTCTCACAGACGCGCCGTCGCCTCCCTCTGTCTGTTCTACAAATACTTTCATGGAAATTGCTCCGAGGAGCTGCATTCGCTGGTTCCCAGACGTCATGAGTTCCAGCGCCCTACGAGGCTGGCATCTCGCTCTCACCCCTTCACTGTCGAAACTCCTAAATATAACCGTCTCTTATACTCTAATAGCTTCATGGCTCGCACCTCTCGCCTGTAGAACTCCCTTCCCTATTCCTGTTTCGCTGTGAGCTATAATCTCCAGCTATTCAAGTGTAATGTCAATCGACATCTCCAGTTGCCTTGATCTATCCACTACCCTCATCCTTTCTTCTATCACTCCTATCTGATCTTGCTCTAAATTTTCTGTAACCCCTTGCGTCCTAGTGGCTTCCCGCCTTGCTTGGGGTGAAAGGCTTAAAAAAACAAACAAAAAACGAAGCGACATTCAGAACAGACAACTCTTGCTTATAAAAACAATAATTTGGCAAGTGTTAACCCCCTTCCCAAGGACACTTTAGCTCATTATCAATTACCCCATGCCAATCTGGTTAATCATTACTACTGAGTAGTGGGTTCAAGTTCATTTACCTGACCATTCACTTGCAAATGAATATTATTCCTGTATCTAAACCAGTTCCTTACAGCAATAAAGTTTTCCAATCAGTATCAATTTGAAGATCAAAGTGGCTCACAGCATTTTTTACTGCAGAAACGTTTTTTTGGTGAGTTTAGAATTTAAAATTTCTTTGAATTTTTTAAAAAGTTACTGAACAAAGCAATATTAGGCTTTTATTTTAGTTTTTAAGTTTACAGTGTCAGCCATTTGCATTATTTTTGCTAACAAGTGATTTTGTTCTGAGAATTATTAAAAAATTAAAAAGAATTTTAAAATGTTTCTATTTTTTTAAAAACAAATACTAAAAATGTTTAGTAAGACACAAACCTGTTTTATAAGTATTAGTAGTTGACTGAAGCCAGGGCCTCCTTAAAATTTTCTTTACTCTTTAAATCCTTATCATAAGTTAAGACAGTGTCAATAAGGTGCAGGTGGTGTGAGGTTGGGTCCATAATTATCTCCCTTGCATTGTCAGGTAGAAGTATTTTTTGTTGAACAAAAAAGTTTATAAAGCAAATGCAAAATTACTTTAATTTACTACTATAAGAAAAGGATTAATATTTAACAGTATATACAGGATGCGATGGGAAAATTGTCGTCATTTTATATTTTTAATTTCGCCCATGCGTGTTTGTTTTTCTCAACTACACAGTGTAGTAGCGTCAGTTGGGCACCCTCTGAGAGAAAACAAGCACCATGATGCAATTTGTTCTGCCAGAAATTTGGAAATAGCATGCTGTACTGTTTGGCATTTGTGCTGAAAGCTCCAATATAAATATTTCAGAGTGTTTGGGTGTCAATCTGAGGAAAGTGGATTCAGAAAGAGTTGGAGGAGTCTAATGGTGATTGCAAAAACACCTTGCCCTGATCTAAGAAAAAGAACTCCTGAATTTGTTGGTGATGGCTTCAGACTCAACACAGAGGTCTACATCAAGTGCCTTGAGGAGATAGTGCTGACCTGGGTCAAGAGGGTAGCTGCTGGAAGACCTTATGTCTGGCAACAGGACTCTGCACCATGCCACACAAGCAGAACCCAGTCATGGCTGTCAGATTGCAACCCCTTGATTTTTGTGTGTGGAGCACAGTTGAGTTGAGACCAACAAAACTGCTTGTCACACCAAAGATGAAATGAAGGCAAGGAGGAAATTCAAGTTGTCTGGAGACCATGGTTGAAGCCAATGGTGATTTTATTGAATAAATTTACTCTTTAGTATTTCAAGATATTTTTTGTGTAATTTTGGAAAAGATATGTTAAAATGAGACGTCAGGGTTATTTTCATTTTTGTGTAATTTAGACAACAATTTATCAGTCACACACAGTCGACTTGACTTTCTATACATTTCTCCCTTTCGACTGCTTCCACTTGATAATTAGAAACAAATGTTGTAACAAGCAAAATATTAAAGTGATATTTTATATCTGATGATGTCCAACAATGCAGATGACATGAGAAAAACGGAAGGAGGTGGAAGAGAAGAAACAACAGAGAACAAAGAGGAAAGAACAATGTAAACAGTTTGAGAACAATGAAAATAAGAAAATTACAGAATTTTTCTTTATTTAAGATTTTTTTTTTGTTTGTTAAAATACATATGACATCTATTACATAGCAAGTGGTTTCAAATTACTTTTTGTCAAATCTGCAGATGAAGTCATTTGACTTGAATGCCTGGGAATTATCCTGGAGAAATTGAGGCAGACAGACAGTAGCTAATAATAAGATTAGCTCACCTAACACAAAAGGGTTAAGCAGTCTGGTGATAAGTCAGTTTTAAAGTGTAAAAAAACAAACATAACCTTAGGAATCCATATACTACTTACAAGATATAATTTTAAAAAACTTTTCAATTCATTATTGACTATACTTTAAACAAAACTATTTAAAGAAATTTGTCTAAAACAATGTAATAGTAAGATGGCAATAATGACTAGAAAATATTTCTAAAACATCAGCAGAGGAGATGTCAAAATGTATGTAATTCAACATAGGCACTCTCTCTCTCTCTCACTCACACACAAAAGACAAATAAATAGCAACAATTCAGGGGTTTGCAATAACATTCTCCTTTCTATTGGTGGTTCCTAAAAATCATACTCTGCAGACAATCAGAAATTCTTGTCTTAGTAAGAGACAGTATAATATCTTATTAGTTTTTCTGATTTAAAAGAAAAGTAAAAAGATTGAGCTTTAATTCAGGACACTAAATACAAATTTGTTTAGTCTATCAGCTGTTATTAACCAAAAATATTAGTCAAAATATTAGCTGGAAATACCAATTCAAAAACATTCTGGATCATAATAATTTTTAGAAAACTGAACACCAGAAATATGGTCCAATTGTAGAAAATTATCCAATTTGATTAGACAGTCAAAGGTTAAAGTGAACTTCTCATCTAGCTCTGATGGTAATAATGCAATGACGAAACTGGTTGATAAAGCCTGTCTAAATTGCTGTCAAAGGAAGAAATTCTGAAGAGATATGGTCAGCCACAGCCAAAATGTATCCACTATCCCAGCTTAGTTTGTAACAAATGCCTACTTGGAGAAGAAATCTGGGAAATAAATTTTTAACCAATAGTACAAAATTCATTTTTGGAATTTTGAAACCTATTTTTATAAGTTCTTTGGAAATTTGCTTGTATTGTGTCTTTAAAAAAAAAAAAAAAAAAAAAAAAAAAAAAAAGATTATTTTAAAATGTTGAGAAAAATTAAATCAACAAAAATAAAAAACTGAGAAAAATATTTAAAAGTTAAAATATTAAAACAAATATCAATATAGTACTGAGTGGTGTAACTAAATGGATATTCAAATTTTATGAGTTAATGGTATTGTAAGAATAATAAGTTACTTACAAGTAAATGGCTAAAGAATACCACTCCAAATGAAAGGCACACGTGGATATTCAGTAACCAAAAAAAGGTTGGGAAGTTGGAAGAAAGAGAATTTGAAAGATTTCTAAAAGCACATTTAGAAAAAAAAAAAAAATTCTAAGATCATTCATTTGTTTTTTTAGAAAACTTTAAATGATTTATGAAGTCAAATGAAAAACATGTTTTGCTTTTGTTTTTATGTATTAAAGTGAAAGCTGAGCTGAAATGATAACAGCAGCAATTATCTTGAATTGAGAGGGGAAAAGTTAGAGCAAAATGAATGATACTTGCTAGATCAGAGAGCTGTTTTCAGAGCAGCACAGATATACTTGCAAATATATGAAATTTATTGACCATCCATTAATTGTTGACTAAAAGCTAATATCTACAAATACAAGAAGGTTAAGTAGTACAAGCCAGTGTGGGGCAATATAAGAAGCATTTCTAGTCACCCAATCTAAAGTTGTTCCCTAGACATTTAAAAAAAAAAAAAAAAAAAAAAAAAGTTGGTCAACTTAAAGTTTTAATCAACCTTACTATAAAGATTTTATTGAATGTTTTTCATAAAATTAAAGTGTTAATTAGGTGCTCTGTCAGTGAAATGAATGATGGTGTCCTTATAAACATCAAAATTATGCAAAATATAAATTGTACTGAAAAATCATTTTGTCCAGCAGGCTAGAGAACTATGGACATCCTGATATTTTGAAAATAGGAAAATGGATTAGGGATTTAGATATATTCTATAAATTTAAATATTTCCTCTTAAAAATTGTTGAATTATTTCTTATGCCTCTCAATAGGGGAAAAAAAAAAGAAAAAAGAAATCGGTAGTGAGAGCATGCTAAGTTGCTTGGCCAACAGAATGAACAGAAAATCTTTGTCCAAATCTGCCTTGAATTTGTAGAAAAATAGTGTCAGTGGTCTGACTTGACTTCAGCAGCTTCTTGTTGGATCACCCCAGGCTGTGGGGAAATGACATTGGCTGTGACAGCTGCTGCCGTGGCTGACTAACCCCTACTCATTGTCGTTCCAGCACCGGGAGAGCTCCAGTCAGATATTAAGGTGTCTGAATGATACATTTTAGATGCAGTTGTATTATATACAGGTAAAAGCTCATTTGCCTCACTTGGGAATAACTGAAACAAAATGAAAAAATATTTACAATATGCATTACATTTAATTTGTTACATTTTAAATTAAAAAAAAAAATCATGTGCAGTACAAGTAATTTCCTTATCTCTGGAAGATATCGATTATTTCAAACTTTTCTTTTGAATTCAAACAGAAACGATTTAGTTATTCATAAAATGTACACAAAACTCAGATAAAGTATCAAGTGAATGTCTTTGCTTGCTTATTACAAAATTTTTTACAAAATATTTTTTCTAAAAAAATACTTACTTTTAAATAAATGAAAGCATCTGTTCCACAGCCTTCCACAGAACTCAAGATCAAGTCTCCATGAAAGTATCGAGCATACAGACGAGACAATGGTAAACCATAACCATAGCCAGCCTTTGTTTAAAAAAAAAATAAAATGAACACAAGTGACAAGGGATGTAACAAAACTAGGAGTTATTGTTCTTGAATTAAACAAGTACGGTTCAAGTAAATCAAAACCATAATAATTACACATAATTTAATGTACGGTTTTATTTAAGTAACATAAATAGCCGTGGCAATGTAGCTACTTTTAATTTTTTTTTTTTTTAAAACACTTAATTTGTAAAACTATTTTTTGATAAAACAATTATAATGTTAAATGGCACAACAGGGGGAAAACACCCAATAATAATACAGAGGACACACAGTGCCATTCTTTATAGCTTAATAAATGTAATCTTACTTACCAAAATAAAGTATAAGTAGTCTTATATATTTGGTAGATTAAATACAGTCTTGTTACAATACATTAGAGGTAAGTGATCTAAGTGGTTCCATTGTGCAGATTTGAAAATTAACAGTTTAAAATGTTCTAATTTGAAGAATGAAACAATTTTCAGTTTAATCAGGTCCCTGGTTTGCTAATTGACAGAAAAAGAGAAAAAAGAAATTGTCTAACTTCTAATTATAAACAAGTTTTAAGAAAGAGGGAAGAAACACCTGCAATGCTGACATCAATGATGCTACTTTTAAGCTTCCTGATAATAAGCATTTATGAATTAGTAAAGAAATAAGTTGCTTGATACTGAGTGAAAGTCATTGAAGAGAGTTAAACATAAAAATGAAATTATATAATTTTGATTGGATGGTAACAATTTTTAAGGAGATTTGCTATGTGTTCACAGATGAAAAGAGGTACCAGAAGAGTGCACATATAGGTAGAGTAATATTGGAATTTAATATTTAAAAAGACTTTTCATATATGATTGATATTTGTTATTTTTAATACATATTTTTATGTTAAGTTTTACATGCTATCAGTGACACATTAATTTTAGAGGACATGTTGGCTGTTGGCTCCTTAAATGGGCATGACCGTCAATGACAAGTTTGATCAATACTTCTAATTCTCATGAGAACAATGGCTCTTGAAGCCAGCAAGTAACTTGCAATGCTTATTGCAGATGTGCCAAACTAAATTGTTTTGTACAGGGTCTGTTCAGCTTGCTTGTGGGTTTTCATGTGACAGGTGAAACTGGAGCAGTTTCTAACACACCCTGCATATTAAGTTATTTCCAGCATAGTACTGATCATAATTTATCAAAGGTTTACCAATATGACACTTCTTGTAGTTAACTAGGCCTGCATTGGAAAGACAATCTACCACATTCATCACATGCAAATTGAAAATTACATTAGAAGACAGATATATTAACAACGTAAGATGATATCAAATGTGTTTAATTCTCAATGGAGATTGAAGAAAGATTTTCAATTAGTACTGCTTAAGTTGGGTGCCAATAGCATTAGGTCAAGGTGAATTACTGCAAATTATGAATTATGGAAAGGATAAAAGAATTAATTGCAATAGGCAATTACAATAAAATGAATTAACACCTGGAATTGTCTGTGTTTGAAGTAATGACTGAACAGGGTTCAAATTAGGAGGACTGAGTGAAACAAAGAATACCTACCTCTCATTACCACTCACTAAGTGAAAAATGACAATTGAGAGAAACCCACTCACCCACACTAGATGCCTCTTGTTCAAAATTCAGTTCTGGAATTGCTATTTTTAATACCATCCACCATTTTGTCTTTACCTGGCTGTAGATGACCCTGGTACAATGCATATATGTAAACTGATTTCTAACCTGATACTCAAAAGGAATGTATTCCTCATAGATACTGACCAGGAATAGTGGGCAGTCATCAACAGGGACAAAAGTAGATGAGATGATGCAGAATAGAGTAGTAGTTGGTGGAAGCATCACAGATATTCAGAGAATGAAGTACATAATTTCTCCTTTGTCACCTAATCTAATGCCCCTTGCAAGAAGAATTTTCCCCAACTTAAGAATTTTTTATTGGCAGAGTGGAAGAGTGGAAGATCAAATTTTGAATTTTTTGTTTGAATTGATTACCAGTCACTGAATCTGGAGCATTACTGTTATTTTTGTGATATGTTTTGAATAAAGCTGACAGTCAGTTATGTGCCATGATACACGCTTAGGTGATCATGTATCTTGATAAATGACTCACGGGGCAGATTTTTCCCACAGTAGGTTGCCATTTCTTTCTGTGGTAGACCAGGTGCCACCAAGGCTAGAGAACCATGTCTGTCCTGCTATTTACCCATAGCTGAGGGGGAGAAGAAGAGGATTGATACTTTTCCCAAGGGTATTAGTACATAAGTGAATGTAATGGACTTGAATGAAATTCGAAATTGACTCTCCCATTCCTTAATCAGAGTCACTATCCATTACTCCACCATGCATCCCTCAGCTGATACCTACTAATTTACCAACCAATTGTAGTTAGGTAAGCAACGGAACTGCAACTCTGAACAAATAAACTGTGTTATTGTTTCTACAAGAAAGTTTTATCCTAAAAGTCACTTCCTTCTTTACGTTTTTAGTAACTCAATTCTTTTGTTTCTGAGGGTATTTCAACCAGCTTTAACTTACTCAGATAAAAAAATTAGACACAACATGGGAATGGGAGAGATCAACTGGCAGAGTGAGATGCTCAGTTCCAAGATGCAGACTAATAGAAGAGGGTTTGGTTATAATGTGTTTAAGTTTGTCGACAGGTCTTTTAATGCTCTTATGCAATAATATTTTATCAGAAATTTTAGTTTATAAAAAAAGCACATAGATGTATATAAGAGTGAAAGTTTCAGTAAAAAGTTAATTGCATCTATAATTTTACTTGTAAAAAGATGTTTGGACTGCTGTCATTCTATGGCTTTTCTCATCTATATGATCTACAGGAAAAGAAATATTTCTTGGTAAATTATGTTTATGTACTTGAAATGTAGAAAACTGAGACTTACAAGTGGAGCAGATCCATTATCTGAACGCATTGGCTGTGGAGCAGTTGAATACATATAATGGAAGAGCATTTCAGACTTGCTTCGTGGAATACCACCACCTTTGTCACTCATCTGCACAAAAAGAAACAGACAATATCATATCTGGTAAGTGATGTGAGATGCAACATTATCACAATTCATTGTTATCAACTATAGTTTTATAATCATCCTATTCCTAAGCACCAGGCTATTATAATGCTGTGTATATAGTGCTTTGCAAAAGAGCAACCAATCTATTACTCAATGAACAATTAAATGTAAAATTCAATTTCAAGTCATTTAGTGTCCTAATTTGGATAAAGAGTGTTTGCTTACTTACTTTTATGCTTACATCTTCTACTCCTTTAGTTATCATCACTTCCAGATGTGGCAACTCCACATCTTCATTATGAAATTCAACAACTGCGCGCATTGCATTCTGCCAAATGAAATAGAAATTTTAAGTGAAGCCTATTAATTTTTGTTCATAAAAGACATACAAGCAAGAGGAGAATTACATAAATGTTACTTTAAAATATACCAAGTGAGTGCATTATGTTTAGTTTGAACAGAAACCAAAGGAAAAAAAAAACAGTTTTATTAGCCAATATGGTATCTAACACCAGCACACAATGAATACAACAACATTTACTGAGAAAATATAAAACCTGTATGAATAAATCTGCAGCCACAAAGACATGTGAACAAGTTGCTTCTGGAAAATCCTAATTCCATGCAGACAGCCACCTTTTTATTCCTTTCCTACTTCCAGCATCCTCTTTTTCATTATGCATGTGCATACATTACTTCTTGGTTTATACCACAATTGACTGACTTTTAATAACGTTCCATCAACTGTTCCAATATTTGATTTCTCTTCCATTAACTGCTTTCATATTGCTTACTCTACTCTAATTATGTACTGGTTTCACACTTATCAAGGGGCTTGTGCATCCCATATTAGAGTTCTTGCTCCCACTCTTACCAGGATTTCCACTATCATAAACAAATGTAAAGTGCTTTTACTTGGCAGAAGGGATAGTTAATGGTGCAAAAAAAATCCTGACAATTTCTCTGGCCACAGCAGCTTCAGATAAAGGTGTACTAGTCTAAGAATCTGGAAAATCTTTTAGCAGATGCAGTCCAAAACATGAAGGACTTCCTTTTAAATACTTGTGCCCTTCTCACTCCTATTTCATTACTTGATTCTTGTTACCAAGTAGATATTATCAAAAATCTCAAGTTTTACCCGCCATTAGCACTGAATACTAAATATGCCACAGCCCTGTCTTTACATCCTGTAAGTGCTAAAGCACCACTGAAATAGAATCAAGAAAGCCAATCGCAAACTGCTATCTCATTATCTTTTGCAATCAGTCTCCATTGAATTCACGTAACAATTTTATTTTCATAAACTTCTGCACATTCTTTAGTCTACTTTATTCCTACCAATTTACTTAATGCTATAAATCTTAAGGCATCAGCCATTTTTTGTACCAATATTCAGTCTTTTTTCTCTTATTTCTAAATACAGAACTAATGTACCCTCTCTAAATACATTATAAATCTGGAATCTTTTTTAATTTTGCCACTAATTTCACTTTTGTTAGCCTTCCAATGACATTTCTACTTGTCATCAAATGCCTTTATCTTTTCACTACTAATTGCAATGTTTCCTGATATATCACAGTACTTATGAGCTGAGATATTTTGAGGTAAGATTGATAAAGACACTGTTTTATAAAAGTAAACTCCCAAACAATATAACCTCCAATGTCAGCACACAGAGAACACAAAATTTAGAAAGTACAAATAATTCTGAAGTTACATAGTAATAAAAAAATAAAATGACTATCCCAGTAAAACATTGCTAGTGTGCACTGACTGTTGTCCTTTTACTCCTTTCTTACTTCAAATACAGCTGCCCTCATTTTCTCATATATGCACTATCTCCATTATTTATATTACTCCCTGTACATTTCTTAGAATATACCCCACCAGAAATGAAAACTTTGCCCATAGGATTGGTGCCCCTTCCCTAGTGTTTAAGAAAAACTCAAGGTCTTGACAGTAACTTCTCTTCAGCACCATCAACACAGTAGGGAAATCTATTTGACTGAGAGATTGAGCAACTGAAGAATTTGTGCTATCTGGGAAAATACCAAGTGAAACTGCAATCTTCTCCTTGGTTCACAACTGCCTGTTCAGCCATTTTTTCCTCAGCTATACCAACATAATTGTAACAGATGCTTCTTTATGTACACTCATTGTGTCCTCAATGAGCCTAAGTTGCTGTTTGCTGATAGAATGAGACACCATAGAGCTTATCACAAATTTGGCTCTCAGGATTACTGTTGGCACAGTACGCATGTGTTAAACAAGGGTAAATCCTCAATCCCTGACCTCTTCAATTGGTTGGAAGTGCTGTTACCTATTGCTGATAAATTCTCTTCCAATTCTACTCTTGACTCATCAGGTATATCTTTGATTTTCCACCTACAATCCCTACTTCATGATATATAACTGTCCACAGATTCCACTAACATCTCCAAACTACATCCCCACATGTCAGGTGAACTTATATGGTATCACTGAAGGTGTCCTAAAGAAATATGCTCACAAACTAGCTCTTGTTCTCTCTAAACTATACAACAAATGATTTACTGCTTTTTGCTTTCCAACTTGTTGGAAACCCTCTTCTGTAGTTTCCTGTTTTAAGAACTTTTAAGAACTCTGGTGCATCACCTGATCCTTCAAATTATCAATCTATTAGTTTTTTGGCAAAGTACAAGAGACGCTAATCAACTCTGAATTGGTTAAGCCCCTCTCCTCACAGGGTCTTCTCTCGGACAATATAGCTTTTGTTTCTCAAGGTTAATCACCAATAATGAAAGAGTCTGCCAAGTTTTAGATAAGATCAGTAATGCTCAAGTTGTGGCTTTAGATATCTCAAAGATGTCTGACATGTTGATCTTCACAAGCTAGGATGCATCTGGCTAAATTTTTGATTTGATTCAATCTTTCTTAAATATAATGAAAGTTGTGTTGAACAGCCACTCTTCTAGATCCTTTCATCCTTTCACATTAATGTGGGTGTCCTCCTGCGCTCTATATCTTTGAACCTACTTTGTTTCTTATCTTCATAAACAACCTTCCTGATGCCATTAATTCCCAACTCTGTATCTATGCTGATAACACAACTATTAATAGTCTTAGTAGTAAATCTGATAAGTTTGATAAAGTAAAACTAGCAGCTGATATTGAAAATGAACTTTAAAATGTTGTTAACTGGAGTAAGAAATGAGTTGTAAATTTTAACACCTCCAAAACAAAACTGCCATCTTTTAGTCACCATATAGAATCATTTTTGCCTTCCATCAACTATGGATGATTCTAACCTCCAGGAGAGCAACTCACTGCACCTTCTTGCTCAATTTTTCCACTGACATGAAGAGGAAAGATATTGAATCAATTGCTAGGCCTGCTGCTATGAAAATTGGTTTACATGTGCCAGACAATTTTTCTTGCCAGAATCCAATTTGCACATTTATAAATCTACCATTCGTCTGTGCATTGAATATTGTTGCTACATTTGGTCTGATGCTTCTGCTATATATTTAGAGACAAAAAAGAAGAATCTGTGAACTTATAGGTACTGATTTGATATCTTGGCTTCAGCCACTTTCCCACTGTTGTAACGGCTTCCCTAAGTCTTTTCTATAAATATTATCATGGCAATTGTTCAGTTTTTCTCTTTGGTACCACAACCTCATGAATTTAAGCACACAACCAGACTGGCAATTAGTTCTGATCATTTTACTGTTGAATTAGCTAAAAGTAACCATAGGTTCTATTCTAATAGTTTCTTCTCTTGCATTTCTCATCTGTAGAACTGTCTTTTGATTTTTTGCTTTCCTGTTAACTATGATCTTCAAAAATTTAAATACAACATCAATTGCTATCTTCAGTCTTTCTAAATCCTGTTCTTTTCTTGACCTTTCTTCTCACTAACATTTTCTCATTTGCTTTCACTCAGTAACTTCCTTGTTTTGGATGAAATGATTAAAAAAAAAAAAAAAAAAAAAAAAAAAATGCACACATGCACGTATGCACACACAAAAAAGATCTAATTATTTATTATTTAGTCAAACTAGCTCAGACATTCATAAGTATCACACCAACCCTTCCTGCACCAACATTGAAAGGTCATTAGGGTGGCATCCTGTATCATGATATATCTGGTTAATGTAGGTGGTTGCTGGGTGACCAACGCATCTTTGCTCCATGGCTACATGAGAATATTTTCTGACAGTTTATAGTTCCAATTCTAAAACATTTCATTAAAAATTAAATTTTAAAATATCATTTGACCAGTTGCTATTTCACTCCATTTACAAAACACAATATAAATAACTATGTACACCAAACCATAAAATCAGAAATCGGTAATGTTGATAAAGATCACATCTTTCTCTTTAATTTTTTTTAGTTACTTATTTTATTGTTATGTAATAATTTACTAAGTTTTTCAACAAATTTTATTCACAAATATATTCTAATAACCTGTTAAATTTGTTACAATCTTAGTTATGAAATATCTTAAGTATATTAAGCTATGAATATAAACAAAAACCACCTTTAAAAATGTGATTTTGGAAATATTTAATTACAACTAAAAAAACAAAAACAAAATAACAACCAATAGAATCACCATACACATCAGATAAGGATCAAACATCTATCAAATGTTTCTGTAATCAAAAACACTTTTGTGCAGCACAAAAATATAAACAAAATTTAAAATCAACTGTAGAAACTGATGTTGAATAGGTTTTTAAAAATTAACCCAATTTACAAAAAATATTCAATAGTAAGCACTGATGAAGACTGTAGAAACAACTGAAGAATTTGTAATCTCACCAAAAACTTTATTGTACTCACATCTCAACTAAATAAAAAAGTATAAAATATTTTATCATCACTTTTTATGTGTATATCTCACACTTCACTAGTTTTGCATTTTCTTAGGAAAAATTTTTATGAGACAGAAGCAGAATTTATGATTTTAATAAACAAGGACAGGTTTACAAACTTTTCACAAGTAAACTGAAAAGTAGCATACATTATTTTATATCTAGTATATGTGCAGTGATTTAAAAAAACATGAAAGTTGTTAATAATACATTATTTTTCATTCATTGAAGAGAACATTGGCATCCTGCCAAAAAAAAAAAAAAAAAACTGCCATCAAGTAGAAATCATAAGTTCAAATAAAGAAATGATACACATTTCATAATTTGATAAGCATATAAATAACCAAGGGATAAATCAAGAAAAAATAAGAAATCTATTATCCTTGTGTCTTTTGGCCAAAGTCAGAGAAGAAAGGGATTGCAGGGAACATATGTGACTGAAACTTTTTGCTGTATGAGACTTATTTCTGGCAGTGGGGACACCATAATTAGGATGGTTAGAAATTATTCTACATTATGTTTTCTTTATGTCAAGCTATTTTGAATAATGGAAAAATATGCTTAAGTTCATTGTGGTATGATATTTTACTTACAGCTTAAGTCCCAAATTCTGCAACAAGAATTCTTAACTTAAAATATTTACTTTTTAATTAGATCAATTTCAGAAAGTTATAAAGTGTGTACTGCACAAGAAAACTAGCTTTGAACTCAGGAAAATCAAAATCTGTTTACCTTGAACAGCTCAAAAAGTATGTGGTATAAATGTGAAGGAACATATACCATTCGAATTTGTTCAGCTTTCTCTTCAGCTGAAAAGGAAAAAAAAGCTGTTAGATAATATATGGAATAAAAATAGGACTGATTTAGAATTTTTCTAAAAATCTTTTCTAAAAAACACTTATTTCTAAAAATGGATTAAAGAATTTGTTTAAGAGAGCCAAATGCCAATGTATTCTCTTTCTTAAATAGTAATTCTCAGCCAATCAAAAGATTGGAAATCATTGTGAAGTCTATCACTTAATTGTACAAACATTTAGAGCAGAATATTCCCTCCAGTTAAAGTGAAAAATTCAATATTTGCAAAAAGAAAGAAAAAAAAAAAAAGGTGTAAGAATGTGCAGTTCTATTTATTCCATTCCTTTGATCACTTATGTAATCATGTCTAATTACATTATGTAATCTCCAGTAAGCTACTTTAGGAATATGAGAAAGTTCAAGAAATTGCTGATCAGATTTAATTATCATTTGACACCTTTTTTCCTACATATTTTCAAATAGATTTCAGTGGAAGAATAAGATTTTTAATTTAAAACATTTGCAGTTGGCGGTTTCAGTTTAGAAAATCAAGATAGAAACTGCTCAAAACCATCAAAGTTGAAGATTTAAATGCTGTGGTTAAAAATGATCCAAAACTTCAACCAGAAAACATGCACAGGAAGTTATTTCAAAGATAGATCCTAGCTTGATAAATGGATTCCACTTGAATTAAATGAAAAACAAAATCTATGAAGGTTTGCATTATGTTCAATGATATGAAATCAAACAGATTTTGTATCATCATCACTTGATGAAAATGAAAAATGGATATTATGTAACTAAGATCTGCACAATATCATCCCTGGAAAGTTATTATGTACATCTGCTGGAACAGGAGTGGTTTTATATAGAATTTCCTTCAAATTGGCCAAACAATGCACATACATAAAGAGATTAGTTTGAAAGATTGCGTCTAGTTTGATGAATACAAAGTGTTATTTTGCTATATAGTTTCCATCCTCATTGGTTTTCTTCTACAGATTATGATTTTTTGTAAGTATCAAGAACTGCTCTAAACAGATCAAATGGAAGCTTTTCATTGATTATTTTAAATGATGACTTTTGGAGAGGAATTGACAAATTGCTGTTATAATGGAATAAATGTTTAGAGACTTAGTATTTTAATATTTTAATTAATTTTTCTATTAATTTTTTCAATTCTTTTTAATAAAGTTTGCACTGAAGAACAAGATATGTTAGCAAATCAATAATAATAATAATAATAATAATAATAATAATGACCTGTAGCATTGAGACTTGTAATCTTCACTTCTGGAGCTGTGAGGTAATACTGATCACACAAAAACTTGGCATTTTCATAAGAATCTACAAAGAATATATTTGAACAAAAGCTGGACTGATGAAAAAAAATAAAATAAACAAAAAAAAAAAACAGAGAGGTACTGCTGCTACTCTTATTCAGATATCTAAATTTGAATTAACTACTTATAGAAGGGCCTTGAATAGGCAATCATTGGATCTTATGTCACAAGCTGACAAAGTATCCATTACAATGGATATTTTGTCAGTTTGTGACAAGATACATTTTAGAATGTTCTTTTAATATGTAAAGTATAAAAATACCAAGTAACATTTTGAGAAAAAAAAAAAAAAATTCTGCATTACATATAGTTATTATCCTATTTGATAGGACAGTAAAAAATCCTAACATCTGTTTATTTATAATAGCAAGAATCATAAAAATTAAGTCAAGTGATTACTGAAGTCTATTTAATTACATATCATTTGTTAATGAATCTAAGCATATTGCCAAAGAAAGGTTAAAAATACTTTGCCTCCTATCCATGAAAAAAAAAAAAAAAACTGATTTAGAAAAATCTGTTTATTACTAACACAATATCTTGAAAACTGAATCTTAATATCAATACAACTGTTCCTATTTAAGTAATTTGTTAAAAACCAATCACAGTACAAGAAGTTGTTGAAAAGTTCTCAAGCACCCCATGCTTAAAGAAAATGTTTGGTCATTTGTCTAGATTTTGGAAGCAGCAAGACAAAAGCTTTTCAGCACTCTTTCATAAAATAAACTGTACTAAATAATACTGATATGAAAAATATTTCCAACAATTCTAAAATTAAAAATGAACCTCATGAGAAAAGATTAGTACAATTTACTTTTACAGATGAAACTCAAAATGGTTAATTATATTCTTGTATGTCAGTATACATTTAGAAAATCATTTTCAGTAATTACAGCTTCACAATGTCAATTAATCGAATAATTGAGAAAGTAGAAAATTACTTACCTTTGACAACATCAATTACAACACAGTTGGGATCTATGCAACCAATATGGCGTGTATTTTGAGATAGTTGAGAACCAAACAGTAGAGCTGAAAGAGAAGTTATTAGCCAATGTTAATTACATTTTCCACAAACTGTACATCTACCTCTGCCTAAATTGGTACTTCACAATTTACTTTAACAAAAAACAGTATCTCAGGCTTATACAATTTCCTAGATAAATTGATTATTAATAAGGTAAAACTGTCTTACTCAAACTGCTGAAAGTTAATTGTGTTGCGTTTTTCTTTGTGTTAAGAAAAAAACAAACAAACAAAAAAAAAACACTTTACAAGTTTTCTGAAAATAGATTAGTCATGTAGCCAAAATAGCAGACTAACAGAGTTTCAAAAAATGAGAATTCTGACAACCCCAAGAAAGCAATTTCTATGAATTTACAAATTAAGCTTTTACCTAAGTGAAAAATATCAGTAATCCTATTATAAAGAATTAAAAATAAATGTTAAATTACTATTTAGAAAAATTAAAGACAACACTTGATGAAATACAGCAGAAATAAAGAAATGCAGTTGGTAAGCAATGGAAGTTAGACATCAACCAATGCCATAGTTACTCACTGTGCTGGTTAATCAACATTCTAATACTGATTCTGCTCATGTAGAATCGATCCAAAAAATACTGAATGCGAGTTTCTGTGTTACTGTCAATGCCATGAGATTCCTTCAGTTCTATTACTCCCTACAAAATAAAATGTTTCTGGTGAAGATATGAAAAGAAGAGGAGTAAAACAAGGTAAGGATTGAATGACTAGGCACCACTGACACAGACAATGCACAAAAATAACTATCAATGAAGAATACAGAGTTTGAAACATTTCAATGACTAAGCCCTTTCCCAGATTAGTGTCACATTTACTTAAAAGAGAATTATGACTTTTGAATGAGGAAAAAAAAAAAAAAAAAAAAACTGGGGTTTCTATTTTGTAAGCACAAAATAAATTTAGAAACTTAATTTTCTATCTCACACACGCACAATGCAGATTGAATTTCATTTAAAAGCATTTTCAACTGTTTTCTAAAATCTTCAAAATTTAATATTAAACTTGGAACAAAAAAAAACAAAAACAAAACAGGAAATTGAATGATGTTCATTAACAAGTGAATCAAAGTAAACATCAGGAATTAATAAAGATTTTATTGTCCTTTAAATGACATCTTATACATGAAAATTTTTTTAAGCAATCAACTTAAGACTAATGCTTAAAAAAGAAACAACTAAATTTACAACATAATGATGGCTAATTAGAAAATTATTTAAGATGTGAGAAAAAGTAATGAAGATGATTTAAAATGCCTTTTCTGATCTTCAGAATATTACATATCTAAAAAGGATAAAACTTAAATATAACTTGAATATCAATTATTTAACTGCAGTGAATAGAATTTGTTAGGAATAAGGTTTTTTTTTTAGATAATTTAGCTTCTGAAGTAAAAATAAATAGTAAATTTTCTTTTGTGACATGACCACATAATAGAAACATGAAAGTATTATGGAAATAAATGTGAGAAAATTGTTAGATAAAAAGTAGAAAATGTGTGCGGAGGGAGGGAGACAAATCTAAAGAAAAAAAAAGTAGATAGGGAAAATTCCTTTAAAAAAATTTAAAGTAAGGGACAAAAATATGAAAAAGCATAACTACAGAACAAGAGAGAAATAAAGTAGAGCAATTTTAAACTGTTGACTCCAATATTCATTTTTACATTAAAAAAGTTGTTATGCAAGAAAAGCTGATAACCAGATGATTTTAAGAATAAAGGGCAGGTAAAAATGGAAGCCAGTCAATGTATGACTAGTTTAGCAAGTTAGCAGCTTTTGAGAAAATTCAAATGTCACATGCTATTAACCAGTGCATTCTGCAAAGCAAAGCTATTTATTTGAAAAAATTTCAATCCACTGCATTTGAAACCTGAAAGGACCAAATTTAAAATATCAATGTTAACTTGGCCTTTAAGCTTTCCAAACAAGTCCTCAGTTCAAAATTAAAAGAATAGAAAAATAATTCAGTGAAATTTGTATATTGTTACTTTAAGTATAAATAAGAAAAAAATCATTAAATGGCAATAGTTTCCATAAAACTGATTAAAAAAAACAGTCTACTTTTAAAAGATTTAAAATTAATTTAGATATAAAAGAACAATTCAGAGACACTGAATTGTGATCTGGCAGAGTTAAAACAAGGGTAAAAGTAAAGAAAAATTGAATTTTTCAAAGTATGCTTTATATTTTAATTAAGCAATAACTACTAAAGATATATTGCAGAAGATTAATTGCAAACATTGCTTACTTGTTGTACACACCAATATTTTCTTACAGAGAACATGAAAAGTTTAATGAAAATTTGCTTTAGCCCATGTCTTGGCTTATTTGGCTAAAAAGGTGAAGAAAATGATTCTGAGCATTAAAGAAACATTTTGCAATAGAACAGTGAAGAAAGTAATAGCTATTTGAAGAAATCTAGCCATAATAATTTGGGAAGCAGTAGATTTACTTGTTAGAATATTTAATATTTGTTCATGTAACTAAATAGCTCCAGTGGTGAAATGCACAGCTTGCAGTCTAACTGAAAGAAGATCACCAGGATTAATGTTATCTGTCCCAAATAGTAATAGAACTGTACCTCATAATTTGACACATAATATTGACCAGCTAGTTAAAGTGAGATTTGAAGCTTTAAAATAGCTATAAAGCTAATTATATCTGGGAAATTTTTGAGGTGAGTAATTCACTGTTTTTACCTAAAAAAAAGTAGGCAAATAGTACATATTTAAATATTCTATTAGTGTTAGTCTCCATTTTGAAAAAGTGAGATTTTGAGAGTATTTTGGAGCTTTGTGAACAGACATTCAAAATTTGGAAAGATTGAAAGTTTATAAGTTTATAAATGTAATCTAGCCTAAGAAATTTAGAAAAGTTAATGTCTATAATCCCATAAAAAATGGAAATAAGTAACCAGCACAAATTTAGAAAAGACAACTTTAAAAAGAAATGCATTAAGGGGGGAGAGAAATCATAAAAAGAAATGAGAAAAGGAGCAAAAATGCTTTGTAGAATGAATCTGCAACATTTTAAATGTGACTAAAGACTGAGTTTATTGATGGGAACACATCACAAATCATTAACACATTGATTACATCGTTTTTTTAAATAGGAAAGTGGAAGCGCAAAACTTAGGAACAGAAAATTTCTACAGGATATAAGTTGACACACACACATGCATACACACACACACATATATATATATATATATATATATATATATATATATATATATATAAAAAATACAGAGGATACTAGCAGAACTCACACAATATATAATCTTAACTAACTGATTTTTATTTAAATGTTCAAAATTAAAGCCTCCTTAAAGTGTCAGGAAGAAAAATCAGTTGTGGAAGAGTAACAAGCCGATATTTGGATCTCAGTTATTAACCATTGTGCTGCAGAGCAGAGCTTTACATGTCATGGCAAACCCCTCCCCAACCCTGTCATCCCAAAAATAAAAATCAAGGATTGTGTGACACCTACATAAAAAATAAAAAAAATAAAAAATTAAAAATTAATAAGCTACTCCACAAAAATGTTAAGCTTGATAGCCATATCTACTCTACTCAAATTGGTCAGACTGCAGTCAGACCTTTTTAGACGTTTAGCTAAAACCTTTGTTGTAACAGGACAAAACTAGGAGAAATTACTTCAATCAATACAATAAGAAAATACCTTAGGGATTATAATTATAAAAAATAATACTGAAAGGTAGAGAGATTAACTTATATCTCAACTCAATTTTTATAGACAAGTGTTCAGTCAATAATTACAATAATTTGATATGCTTATTATGATTACACTTGTGTTTATTATTATTATTACTACTACTAAGATCAATAGAAAGAAAATACATGCCAAGTTTAAGCAAAATAGCTAAGTAATTTTGAACAATCAGTCAATGGATTTGAGTTAGGATTTTGTATTTTTCTGATTTTAAATCTAGCAAGAATCAAAAGCAAACCATTGCACAGCTTTGAGTGCAAAATATAGGTTAGTGCCAATGTCTATTTAATGCCAATGTCCTTTCAAGGTTAAATGCAAACATTACTGTGCATCTTCAAGAAAATCTTTAGAATTTTTTTGTTGCTTGAACAGACAACTGTAAAATCATGTAAATAAAAGAGATATTTCAACCAACCTAAGATTCTTTGAACAGGATAATGCATTTTGTTTTATAATCAGAAAAGTTTTTGAAAAATTTTGTAAAAGTCAGAGCTTATATCTGTTTAAAATGCACAATGTTTTTACTATAATATGTTTAACTTTGGGAACACAAAGATTAGCAAAGTCTGAAAAGAACAATAACAGATAACAGTAGACTAGCTGAAAGAGGCATTAAAATAAGAAAGCAGTCTATACTCCTACCAGTTATAAATAGATACACAGAGAAAGGACAAACGCAAAACTAATTTAAGATGAAAGGTAGAAAACATGTAAGCCTTTAAATAGACCAATGTCTATTATTTAGATCATTTAAAAACAATTCTTGGGACAAGAGAGTGAATACTATTTTTTCTGCATGAAAAACCCATTTGTGGAGTAGCATTAGGTGTTCATCTGGTGTTCTGTCAGAGGGACAGCTGACAGGTAAAGCAGAATTGCCCAACAAGACAACAGTTAAATGGCTGCGACCAAAATATTTAATAAAGAGTTGGCGGCTAACGCTAACCTGGGCCATTGTCTCCACCACATTGGTGTGCCTGTTCCTGATCTTCACCAACCTTTCTGTAAAACTGGAAAATATATAAAACTATGTAACAGCTACACAGAGAACCAGTAGTGCAGACAGGACAACAGTCACTTTCATTAGGTACCAGAGCCATTGCTTTATGATTCCAATCCTTCCAGTGATGGTCACTGCAGCAATGATGGCACATAGAGAAAGAAAGATAGGAACAAAGAACAAGATTCAAAATAAAAATAAAGTTGATAAGCAACAAAGGCAAGGGCAGCAACAGCAGGAACAGGCACCAATCAGTTAAAGCTCAAAATTGGCAAAATTAAAAAAAAAAAAAAAAAAAAAAAAATCTTTAGACATTTGTCAAGATTTTATTAGAAAGGAACATTCAAAATATAGTTTTGGATATTTTGAATGTAAAATGGAAAAAACTATTTGACAATATTTAAGATATTTAGAAAAATAAAGTAGACCAAAAAGTGATTCACCATAAAGTGAAAGAATTAGGACATGTTTCACTTTTCAATAATTACTACAAACTTTCATTATTAGACTGATGCCTGAATATATAATTTTATATTTCATTGAAAGTGTTTTCATTGGTTTTGTCAGGCATGGTGCACAAATATTAAGTGTGTGTGTGTGTGTGTGTGTTACTTCAAACACTATTAAAGTGGACACCCCACTTATTTATTTATTAAGCAGTTCATAATAAATATATCAGCCTGCACATTTGAGAAAACTAAGTAAAGAAAATGTGTCCTCTGGCAGGGATTGAACCTGTGTCCCCATTTGTAGGGAAAACTATTGTTTGATCTAACATGTTTTGCTGCTCAGTCATAAAGTACTTTCAAAATGTCAGATTAAAAAGAAATTCATTAATTCTTTAGAAATATATATCAACTCAGGATATAAACTTTCTAACACATATTGGAGCATAAAAGTGTACAGTGTAAAAGATAATGTTGAATATGTTTAAAGATTGAAAGAAAAACTATTTTTCCACATTGTTTGATAAAATGTGTTAAATTCTCTCTCTCCAATATAAATAATTTTTTTACTTTCTAGTATTTAGCATGGATAGAACTAGTCAAAACAAAATAAACAAATGAACCTCATTTTACCACACATATTACACTAAATTTTAAAAGGGTTTTCATCTCAAACACATTTTTCAAATTTTTTTCTTAACAGAGACATTATGGTGACCAATAAAAATAAAAAATACATTAGGAGTTACAAATATAATTTTTTTTTTACATTTAATTAAGCTTTAATGTTAAACAATGTTAACATCTTTTGTCTATCAGTTTGAATATTTCAATTATGTTGAGAATAAAAATTTGAATTTATTTATTTTACAAAATATTTCAATTTTGAATGTTAAACAATACTAGTGAAATATTGCTGACAATTAGATAATAAAAACAAACTTGAGAGAAGTTTTGTTAACAGAAGAGATTGAGAGATTAGTTGGTATAACCAATGATAAAAACCATCAATTTCTATTTGATTGTAATTTCCTTTTAGCCTCTTATAATCTACCATACAACTAAAAGAATTTTCTAAAGCCAACTGCAACACTAGTGTACAAAATACTTGCATTTTTATGTTAAGCTATATATTTGTTATTTATTTTGAATAGTTTTAAAATACTGACAATGCTTTTCATGTCGTTCTAATGCTAGGATCTTAAGTGAAAAATATTTTTCAAAATTATCATCTATGAAAGGTATTTTTGATTGAGACATTTTATTATAATTGAGCAGAAAATTCCAAATTTTTTGGTGACAGCCAGACTTCCCCTTTTTCTACTGAATACAATTCAGATTTAACTATCACTTCACATGATTAGTTAGGCTATGCCAATGATTGAATAGAGGAAACACCTAATTTATGAATTCTATTTCAACAGATCTAAATATATTTTAATGAACTTTTTAAAAAGCCTAATATCAAAAAATTCAATAAATGTATCTTATTTTCAAGGAAAAAATCCAATTAACTATTAATATATGCAAATTCCTTGCATAAGGACACTGCATTCTATGTAGTGAAAAAAAAAACAACAAAAAAACACTCCCATTTAAAGTAGTTTGGAAGATAACCATATAGAATTTGAAGAGATGGGTTAATTTATAAAATGTAAAAAATTAGAGAAGCATTGAAGTCTATAAATTAGAAAAAAGTGTAACCATGCACTGTTTTTCTGACAATAAGTGGTTAAAAGTGAAGAAAATTTTGCAACATCCAAAATGATTTTTTAGATTTCAATTTAGAATATAGAAGATTAGCCATAAAGAGAAAATCAAGTTAACATCCTTTAACTGAAAGGTTTCTACTCAGTCATGTTACTGTGTTGTTGCCATTGATGGAGGATGTGGAATAAGATCATGATGCTGATGACCAAAGGTCAAAATTAATCATCATTTTTAGTCAAAAAACCAGCAAAATACTGAAAGAAAATCAGGTAACTAACTATGCCTCCTCACTTCATAAAAAGGAAAATTGAAAAGATAAATAATAGTTAAACAAAAGCAAAAAACATCAGCAACAATACAAAAAAAGCAGTGTTGGATGAGAAAAGTTGAAGCAGGGGAAGAAAATTGGAGAAATTTGACAATAACAATTTAATTGTTTTTGTAATTATTTCTAAATATACACAAATAAAAAAACCTCTTTCTTTGGCCATTTGAGATATTTAAAAGTGAGAAAACTTCCAGAGCAAAATTTATGACAATTTCTGAAGCCAAGAAAGATTTGCTTTACATTGTATATCTAGAAGAGTAAACTCCAAGTTTTAACTTTCTATTTAAAATGAAGTATTATTTTTTAAAAATTCAGTTAAGTGATTGACAAAAATACCCCAAAAATAACTAGACCACAAGATTTAAAAATTAAGATCCATTTAATTTGTTGCAAAAAATGAATTATTTTTACAATTTTATAGTTTATTATTATTATTATTTATGATAACATTAAATTTCTCCAATGATCTTCTGAGGCATAAAGGAGGTTATGGATAAATTTAATATCTAAATAAATATAAAATAAAAATGAAAACAATAAAATAAAAAAAATTAAATTATATCAATCTGTTGGAAACAAAAAGAACATATTTAATATAGTTCTAAGAGTTTGGATTAATATTTAATTTTGTCGAATTATTTCAATGAGATATCCACTCATCAGCAAACTAGATCTATATGTAGAATGTCTAGATGATTAAAAAATGTTGATCGACTGAAGTAAACAGAAGATAGGTGCAAAGAAACTTCGCAAATATGATGATAGTCTCAAACCACACCAATGATATCTGCATGCTTAATTTAAAAAAGAAAGGTGGGGGTCACTTATCAAAAATGCAAAAGTACATAGATCAAGAAATAGAATGAACATTTCAGGTAACACATGAAAAATTTTCAACAGTTGTTCACCCATAACAACCCAACCAGCATTAAAGATGGATTAAAATCAATAGTCAATGTAGTCATAAGATAGTAATTTAGTTTTATATTTAGTGTTGATAATCACCAACCAAAATTATGTAGTGGTATTAGACAACTGTATCTGAAAGTGGATGTGATATTAATATTGTTAATATGTTCAATTTATTTTTCTTTTAAGAAATATATCTAAATAACTGCATCTGAAAGTATGCAGTAAAATAAGTGATATTATCATTAATTGATTGTTACACAAGTTCATATTTTTTAAACAAATATTTCTAGCAGCATTCCAAACACATTATATCTTAAAATCATTTATGAAATTAAGATGTAATTAAATAATCTTGTCAATATATCTGGGAATATTATCATCAAGATGAAACTTCAGATATCCAGTCATAATTAAGTCTGACTTTTTCATCAAGTGCAAGTGAGTGGCTAAGTGTGTTCCATAATTTTTAGATAAGACATTAACATTACAAAATTATGAACCATTATGAACCATTATAGACAGCTTTTAATCAGTATGTGTTGATCTTTAGAATTCCAGGAATAAAATCAAATTTTGTTTGGTAATATGTAAATGGTATGGACGTGAAAAATCAATCTACTTCTTAGAAAACAGATTGCACTAAATGAAAAATACATTGACTTCATTAACAGTTTTTAATTTTATACTGACCACTTTAAGCAGTTTTTTTTAGAGATTGAGGAATTTTCATCTAAAAGTGGCAAATTGAGTTAAATCACTAACTAGATATAAAATGTTTCAATTTTACATGTCAATATAAATAGTAACATATTTTAATGAATATAAATATAAAATTTTAATTTTCTTTAAAATCTTAAAAACTTTTTTCCACATGTTCACAAAAAATTCCTACAAACATGATCTATAATTCAAGAACACCTTGAACTATTTATTTAAAAAAAAAAAAAAAAAAAAATTAAACTGAATTAACCAATTTGTTCAAATCTAAAAAATGTGTATTTTCTGACAATTCCTTTCTTGTTTTGGAATAATTTTGGGGAAAAAATTTTTTTTTAAAAATGCTGCCTATAATGCAAATTTATTTTGACCAAAAATACTTTTAAAAGACCTCAATTTCTTAATATCAAAACAAGAAAATTCTTGTAAAATATTGTAAATGCCTTTTTTGAGATGAAATTCTCTTAAATAAGTTGGGTTGTTTTGTAATTTTCTATGCCCATATCTATAAAGTTCATAATGCTCAAGAAAAACTTTTAAAAGAAAAGAAAAATTTTATTAAAAAAAACTGAGAAAGAAAAATGATAAATTCAAATGCAACAATTTTTACAATTTACAAAATAAAAAAAAATATATACCTAAATATACATAAAAAAATATTGAATGCCTCAGAATTTACTGGTAATAATTTCAGGAAGATCAAACAGTTTTTAAATAAATATCCTAAACTCTTAGAGAATGTCTATACAAAAGAGAATATCTGGGGTTTATCATATGTAGGATGAAAATCCATAGAAAGCATTTATTAACATTGGAAATATGTATTTGCATAGAATAAGTATACAATGGTATCACTTATTTAGGAAAATAATTATTTTAACAATAATGACAATATTT